CATCTAAGTCAGTAATTTAATTCCGGGAATATCTGTGACAACCCGTCCCAAATTTTATTATTTTATAAATTTTAAAAGCGTGATTTTACAAAAATGCCCTAGAAGTGAAGGTGTTGACCTTCATTGACCAACGCTTAGGGAAACGTACTAAATATTCTTGTAGTGTATTACTGATGTATTCGACGATGCAAACGCGTGAACGCAAGCAGAAGTGAATTTGGAGTTACAATTAAAGTTTTGTGAAGCTACAAACCGAATGTATTTTGAAGAAATGATTTATCCTAAGAATATTATATTATTTTGTACTAAATGATTGGGCCACATGGGTGTGGCTGAGAAGAGGGCATCGGAGAGAAGGAAATCAGAGGAAAAGGGGATTGGGCACCCAATCTGGAAAAAGAGACAGAGACCGAAAGGGAGAGAGGGGTTAGACCAATCAAAAAGCAAGAAATGAGGGAAAAAAGAATGGAGAGAAGTGGGGGAAAAAGGAAGAAACGGGTTTTCCCCAACACGTGCACCCGCACACCCATCTCTATTTTTCCGACGATTTTCACCAAATTTCTCACAAATTGGATCAAGGTACCACTCCCAATCAAAACCTAGACCTTCCCTCTTCATGTTTCACCCCAAAAAATCTTGAAATTTGGTGGTGGTTTGGTGAAAAACGCACCCGTGGGTGCCGCGAGTTTGTGTTCGAAATCCTCCAGCTTTTGAAGCAATTTCTTCCAATCACTACCACCCCTAGCTTCCTCTTGAGGCCTAGAACAAAGCCCAAACAAGTTTGGGAACGGCGGAGCTATTTTGGAGACGGATCAAATACACCAAAAAACAAGGGTTTAGCACGGTTTTGATGAAATTAGGGCCTTTCCAGGCCAAATTGGCCTTGGTCACGGGTATGAAGTTGTTATACTCATTGAGATCTTCAAATATGCAAATTTTGGTAATCTTTAGAAATAATTGAATTTTTCGGTGAGCTGGGGCAGCCGACCGCCACCCGCGGAGGCTAGTACGGCGGCATGTGGCCTGAGGGCCGCCAATGCTATTTTTAAGCTATATGTGATGTCTTGAATTCATTTTTGAGAAGTGAATGACGTAGATTGATCATTAGAGCCAAAATTCTCTAAGATACGTTAATAGGCCATTATATGAATCAACGATCCGACCGTTAGATCGTCATCAAACTTTGATAGATTATTATTCATAATATTTGAGGAATATAGGAACTTACGGATTGGGAATCCGATGTATGGATCTCCTTGAATTGGATTTGTAAGTTCGTAAAATAAAATGCTAACCGCCACTTGGTTTTGGTAATTGGCAGAGATCCGACCGTTGGATCATTTTGAAACTTTAGTATGTTGTTCTAGAAGCATAATTTGGATCCTTGGAAGTTACAAATCAGAGATCTGATTTGTAGATCTTCTGGACCGAATTGCGTAGACTTATGTGCGATGTAATTTATGTATTATATCAACGAGAATTCTGAGATATGGTTTGATAATTGGTCACAGGCGCCGATCGTTTATGACGCATCGATGTTCGTGCTAAGAAGTTGTAGCGTGGACTCCAGGTGAGTGGGTCTTTCCTTGCTCATCTTATGTTTCATGATTGATAATTCTTTAAATGCTTTTAAATAAAACTAAGAACTTCTGCCATGACATATATATATTTATATGTTATAAAATACTATGAGATGGTTGAGTTAGATTTCATTGTGATCTATCCATATGTGTATTACTATAAATGATTATTGTGAACTACGAATGGCTTGATCCCTGTTTAGGGTACGTAGGCAGTCTAACGAGACGTTAGATGCAACCATATAAGAAATGAGATTAAATAACCAAGACCATAGCCTTGTTTAAGGAATTGAGCAATATATGTGGGCTTTTAGTTTTAAGTATATATGTATACACTCGATATTTTCCCAAAAATATGTTTAAATGAGATTATGCCTTGAATGCCATGCATATGAGTCTATAATTCATATATGAATTGGTATATGATGCATTATATATAATTGTGGTGCAGTGAACGCTCTGAAGTGCAAAGGTGAATACAGGACACTCAGGTAAGTTTAGGTAAACTCAAGTAAGTATACGGTATTAGTTTAAATTATGAGATATGCGATGAGATATGAATATGTCGTACAAGTCACTAAAGGTGACTATGACTATTATATGCTAGCCATAACTTATGAGATATGCGATGAGATATGAAATGTCGTATAGGTCACTAGAGGTGACTTCGACTATTATATGCTAGCCATAATTGATGAGATATACGATGAGATATAAATGTGTCGTATAGGTCACTAGAGGTGACTCCGACTATTATATGCTAGCCATAACTAATGAGATATGAGATGAGATATGAATATGTCGTATAGGTCACTAAAGGTGACTCCGACTATTATATGCTAGCCATAACTGATGAGATATGCGATGAGATATGAATATGTCGTATAGGTCACTAGAAGTGACTCCGACTATTATATGCTAGCCATAACTAATGAGATATGCGATGAGATATGAATATGTCGTATAGGTCACTAGAGGTGACTCCGACTATTATATGCTAGCCATAACTGATGAGATATGCAATGAGATATGAATATGTCATATAGGTCACTATAAGTGACTCCGACTATTATATGCTAGCCATAACTGATGAGATATGCGATGAGATATGAATATATCGTATAGGTCACTAGAGGTGACTCCGACTATTATATGCTAGCCATGATTGATGAGAGATATGATGAGATATCAATATGACGTATAGGTCACTAGAGGTGACTCCGACTATTATATGTTAGCCATAAGTGATGAGATATGCGATGAGATATGAATGTGTCGTATAGGTCACTAGAGGTGACTCCGACTATTATATGTTAGCCATAACTGATGAGATATGCGATGAGATATGAATATGTTGTATATGTCACTAGAGGTGACTCCGACTATTATATGCTAGCCATAACTAATGAGATATGCGATGATATATGAATGTGTCGTATAGGTCACTAGAGGTGACTCCGACTATTATATGCTAGCCATAACTAATGAGATATGCGATGAGATATGATTGTGTCGTATAGGTCACTAGAGGTGACTCCGACTATTATATGCTAGCCATAAGTGATGAGATATGCGATGAGATATGAATGTGTCGTATAGGTCACTAGAGGTGACTCCGACTATTATATGCTGGCCATAACTGATGAGATATGCGATGAGATATGAATGTGTCGTATAGGTCACTAGAGGTGACTCCGACTATTATATGTTAGCCATAACTGATGAGATATGCGATGAGATAGGAATATGTCGTATAGGTCACTGATGAGATATGCGATGAGATATGAATATGTCGTATAGGTCACCAGAGGTGACTCCGACTATTATATGCTAGCCATAACTGATGAGATATGAATATGTCGTATAGGTCACTAGAGGTGACTCAGACTTGCGTACTAGTATGAGTTATTAATCGCATGATTGTTTGATATTATTGATGAGATGCTGTGTTGTGATACATTATGATTTCTCTGGAAATTATATAGGTGTTGTAGCGAGTGATTACATATTTTATATGTTTTCTATTAGTATTTCACTTACAGGCCCACTTATCCTTATTTTGTCTTCACTCTCCAGGTATTATTAGCTGAGTTTTATTATCACCAAAGACTCGCGTCGATTCTTAGTATCGGAGACTATTTTGAGGGTACGATTCTTATATCACTTTTACGTACTTGTTTATGCTCTAACATCACGTGTGAAGTGAGTTCATTCCCGCTCACTCGTGCACTCTGGTATTTAGGCACTTTTAGGTTAAATTTATTCACAATTTTCCATATCATCACACTTTATGGCTTCGTCACCTTCCAGGTGTCGGCCATCACAACTTGATTCGGAGTTTTAGTGGACATTCCAGGTCGGGGTGTGTCAATATCAGGGGTTTGATTCCTAATTTTGGGTGGAGCCCACTAATATTTTGCATTCCCAAAATTTGGTAAACACCGAAATCACCCACGGAAGAATTTGATTCCCTTTATGCATAAACACGCCATTAAAGTGTTTTAAGAAAAGTTCTGTATGCAATTCCCCAACAACTGCTTAATTTAGTGGCACATAAACTTCACTTTGTTGGAAGAGATCTTAAGTTCAAATCTCATATACAACAGTCATGAATTAATAAATAAATAAAATTGTATGTAACTGCAACAGAGAATTGGCCACATCGAATAGTATCTTGATTTACAAATTGTAACAAAAAAATGGTGACAAAAGGTTGGTGTCAGACGGGAAAAAGAAGGACCTCTGGATTAGAGATCCTGACAGCATGCTTATGCAAGGCGAACGGATGTTTGTACCGAATGTTAAGGAATTAAAGAAAGACATATTGGATGTAGCGCATATCTCTGCTTATGCGATACATCCAGGGAGCACCAAGATGTATCATACCATTTGACACTTCTATTATTGGCCAGGTATGAAAAGAGAGATTGCAGAGTATGTTAGTCGTTGTGCAATTTGCCAGCAGGTTATGGCAGAAAGGAAAAGGCCGTTTGGATTGCTGCAACCACTCCCGATACCTCAGTGGAAATGGGAAGATATTACGATGGATTTCGTGTACAAGTTACCTCGTACTCGAAATGGTTACGATGGTATCTGGATAGTAGTTGATCGACTTACCAAGTCAACGCACTTCATACCCGTTCGTGAGAATTACTCGTTGAATTAGTTGGTTGAACGGTTCGTCTCTTAAGTGGTTAGGTACCACGGAGTCCCAGTTAGTATCATTTCTGACCGGGATCCCAAATTCACTTTGAAGTTCTGGGTAGCTTTTCAGGAAGCTTTGGGATCGAGATTACTCTACAGCACCGCCTATCATTCCCAAACAGATGAGCAATCAGAAAAACTATCCAGACTTTGGAAGATATGTTGAGATCGTCAGTTCTACAGTTTGGAAACGCTTAGCACAAGCGCTTACCGTTGATGGAGTTCGCGTACAACAACAGCTTCCATTATAGTATTGGTATGACACCATTTGAAGCGTTGTATGGGAAACCGTGTCGTACTCCACTTTGTTGGTCTGAGGTTGGCGAACGAGTTTTAGTGGGCCCTGAGATCGTGGAGGAGACGACACAGAACATTCAGGTGATAAAGGCTAACATGAAAGCAGCCCAGGATCGACAGAAGAGTATCGCCAACAGACATTCTACCGACAGAGTTTATAAGGTTAGTGATTGGGTATTCTTGAAGTTATCGCCGTGGAAAGGTGTTGTGCGATTCGGAAAGAAATGGAAACTCAGCCCTAGGTACATCGGACCGTACCAGATCGTTGAACGAGTCGGTGAAGTTGCTTATCGACCTGCTTTGCCACCAGAGTTGGCGAGAGTGCACAATGTGTTTCATGTATCGATGCTACGGAGGTACGTTTCTGATCCGTCACACGTAATCCCTCATCAGCCACTGCAGATCAATCCAAATTTGACCTATGATGAGGTTCCAGTGACTATCCTTGATTGGGAGGATAAGGTTCTTAGGAACAAGGCCAGGCGGATGGTGAAGGTTTTGTGGATGAAGCCACTTGGGATACAGAAGAGCGTATACGAGATATGTATCCACGTCTATTTATGGCTTTGATAGTAGTTAGTATCGAAATTTTGGGGACAAAATTTTTATAAGGGGGTAGATTGTGACGACTCGTCCCTAATTTTCCTATGTAATTTCTCCCCGAGTATGTGTATTGACGATTATGCCCTTATTGGTAAGTGACGTGGACTTATTCTTATTGCTTTCCTTTTTATTTCTCGTTATCGCATTTAAATTGTACACGCTAGTATGAGTAGGTGTAAGTTTTAAAGTGTAAAAATATCTACTTTGGATAAATTTCGATTTCCTTTTACTGTAGGAAATCTAAAAACCTATCCTTAGATTCCTTTTAAAACTCATCCCGTGCACTTCTCTACATTATTCCACTTTCAGCTACCCCATCTTGTCCTTATTTTCTGCCCCCCCTCTATCAAAAAAAGCAAAGGAAATTTCAAAACCTCACTCTCTTTTTTCTCTCTCTCTCTCTCCCGTGAACTCTCTCTTCCTCTGCGACTTCATGAGCGAGCTCCAAAGCTCGTAGATTGAACAAACAAACTACATCATCATGCTCATCTCAGTCCCACGATCACAACTATGTCCTTGAAATCTGGTGTGGACGAGTTTTGACTCACCAACTCAGAAGGTCGACTCGGCGAGTTCGACATATCGATTTTCAGGCCATGCATGGCTTAGGTAAGCCTTGAGAAACCCTTAGAACCATCATTTCACTTCTATGGGTTGTTATTGATCCTTTGTTTGTGTTTTAAACGTGTGGTTTTACCTAGAAACTCGAGAAGAATGAGAACATGCCATTTTTCATTCAAGAACCGTGGCCATTTGGTCACTTTCAAACCGTTTTTCTGGTTAACCTCGACCATAACTGGACTTCTTCTAGGTACAAACTTGTTCTTTACATTCCTAACTTCAAAATGATTTTTGAATCACTAAGTTTGGTTAAGTAACGAGTTAGAAATCAACTCTGGAAGTTGGGAAGAAAATTTTAGTTTTCTGGACATCACAGGCTATATTTTAGTTTTCTGGACATCACTAAGTCGTGTTTGTTTGGCCACTTTCAGGCTAAATTTCTGAACAACACAGACTATATTCGAACTTTCTGTAAATTGGGATCGGTAGATCGCATTCTTAGCTTTAATTTGGCTTTTGTAGAAGTGAATTTGGTTGAGAATCGAGCTCGTTAGGGGCTATGGAAGTTGGCCCAAAAATCTGCAAGACTATAGATTTTCGCGAAGAAGGCGAGTACAGTGTACTCGCGGGGGCGCGTGGGCGCGCGTGGTCAGATCTTTAGGCGGCGCGTGGTTGACACGTGTGTGTGTGTGTTCGTGTCGTCGAGTAGATCAATTTCATATATTTATACCCTAGGTTTGAGCAAACTATGGGGGTTTTATTTAGGTTTCCGTTATATGTTTTAATTAATGTTATTTAGTTATTTCACCTATAGGGGAAACTTATTCCGAGGATTTTCGAGGCTAAGCTAGGCTCGGGGGCTACGACCCAGCGACGCACTTGTGAGTGGGTAGTTGTTTTATACCTATATATATTTATAGTTTCCATGAATGCGTATTTACTTCACTTTTACGCCTAACTTGCCTAGTATCATTATTGTGATATAAATTGTGATAAATGCTACTATATGGTTGTGATATTACTGTCATGGCATTCATACGTACTTGTGTACATGTTCATCTTGCTGCACCCAGTGTTAGTACTCGCCCTAGGGCCAGGGCCAGTCCTTCACATGTATGTTCACATCTGCACCGTTCGCTCGCCTTGGATCCAAGTTTAAGTGCCAGTCTTGTCAGGTAGATTGCATTAGGCGATCCGACGTGTATGTGATGTGATTTTGCACCAGTCTTCACGTGATCGTAGTACTAGAGCATATTGATTACACCCAGTCCTGTTCGTGTCAGAAACCATCTGTTCGAACTTGTGTGCTAGCTTAGATGGATGAGCACTTAGTTATATTAATTATCACATTATTATTATTGTGGCATATGATACATCATTTACTTGGCATATTTCTGGTTATATGGCTGATATATTGGATTTCATACTTACGTAGTATGTTTTGAGGAAACTATACTTGTTTTACGGCGATGGGTTAGTATATTCAAAGATAAAATACTTGTTTTACAGCGAGGGGTTAGTATATTCAAAGATAAAGGTTTTCTTATAAGCATTATTTTGCTGACCCACTCAACTTTGTTTTTCGCCCCTCCAGGACCTAGATAGTTGTACTCTCTGTGGCACTCGAGGAATCACGGCTGTTTTGACATGTCCTTCTATTTAGACGTACGAACTTATCACTATTATGTAATAAGTGTACTTTGGTTGCTTTGACTACTCTTTCGGAGTCTCACTGTCTATTACGCTCTGAATAATTGTAGTGGGTTCAACCCACGAATTGCACACTCTTTCACTGTTTAGTTCTAATTAGTTTTAATTTTATTCAATTTTTGCATTACTTACCCTTATGGTTACATCACCTCACGGTGACGGCCAGCATGCTTCGACCTTTCCAGATCGGGATGTGTCATTAGCCGTTGGATTTAAGTTTAGACCATTAAATGTTTTTTTTAACCATTTGATTTGATCAAATTAATCTTAACCATTGGATTCAATGAATTTATAAATATAAAACTAATATATATATATATATAGTGGGTTAGTCCCACTAACCCAAGGAGAACCCTTATGGTTACATCACCTCACGGTGACGGCCAGCATGCTTCGACCTTTCCAGATCGGGATGTGTCATTAGCCGTTGGATTTAAGTTTAGACCATTAAATGTTTTTTTTAACCATTTGATTTGATCAAATTAATCTTAACCATTCGATTCAATGAATTTATAAATATAAAACTAATATATATATATATATATATATATATATAGTGGGTTAGTCCCACTAACCCAAGGAGAATTCTTGGCTAAATTTGCCCCATAAAAGAGTTTTGAGTTTTAACTCACATTTTCCCTAAAGGTTGGAGCAAGTTGAGGTAAGTTTAGAACCTAAATTTTGAATTTTACTCCAAAAATTAGAGTAGGTTCTAAGAAATAGAAAATTATAAACACAAAATCCCGACCCAAGCGACCAAGATTGAAATAGAAGAAATTCCACAAATTCCTTTTACCCACCATTAGTAGCAACTAGACCTGTAAACGGGTCAGGTTTACTGGGTTTGCGTCAGGTCAAACCCGACCCGTTAATTTAACGGGTTATCCAAATCGAACTCATTTCACCTATTAACAATTTTTTTTTACCATGTTAACAAATAAATAAAAAATGCCATTAAGCTCAAACAAAAACAAAACTTTGATTCAAGAACAAATCAACATACAACAATTAATTTGGATAAGATTGGACGAATGTGAAAAATGCAATTAAGTCAGCGCTAGACAAAACAACCTTTGGCAATTCCTCTTCTCCCTCTGCAAATTTTACCCCTACTGGCGGAGTGGGTGTTCGGGATTTCGAAGAATTGCAGACGATGTGGGATGTCAAAAGCTGAGTTGAGAATTGCAGGCACAACAAAGGTGAGCACGAGGGATTGAATATGAGAGATGTCTCTTTTCGCATTTGGCTGATTGCAAGCTTGCAGTCGTTTGATCCACACAGGGCCACTCATTTGGGCTTAGGACTATTGAACTTACACAAAAGTCCTCACTAACGGGTGTTAACGGGTTTCACTGGTTCATCCAAAATGACTCATTATTTAACGGGTTGACCCGTTAACCACCTGACTCGTTTATCACTCACCCAAATACTAATTTTAATGGGTCGGATTGAAAATGTCAAGTCTAGTAGCAACTAGTAATTCCACAACTTCCTTATAAGCTACTTTTTCAAAATTAAAGAGTGAAATAGCAGAAATGAACCACAGCAAATGACCCGGTGGTAAGGGCGCAGACTGCGACTCTCCAATAAACAAAAAATGTGGAATGTCACGAGTTGAATGCTCCGAGCTAGTGAGTTTGCTTTACTATGACCACTGGCATGATGAAATCCCCATAACCTCTCTCGATCGGGGAATGAATGGATTACCGTGACTTGCCACCAATTGTTCCCCTTTAAAAAAAGACAAAAAAAAAAGAAAAAAAAAGCAGAAATGAGTTTCAAAGACCATGATGAATGCAAAGTATTGAGAAAAAACACATTTTATTGCGAAGTAAGAAACTGAGCTTACTTTGGGCTTTCAATGGATGGGCAGTGATCACCATAGATTGGACACTATATCTAATCCATTTTCACTCTCTGGGCTCTTTAGTGGATTGGCCCAATCATCATTTTCTGAAGACACTGGATTACCTCCACATTGATTGATGAATTGATCAAATTTTGGCCATCCAGATTCAAGAGAATCATGCTATTTAATTTTTCTTTTATCGTACTTACCCTTAAATGGTTCACACGACGACATAATAAATCTTTACAAAAGTTAGATTTTGCATAAAATTCGTACCACTGACTGGTATATACTACTATAGTTGGACCTCCATTCAATCATTGTGAATCTCGAATTTGGTTCTATGTTGTGGCACATGCTTCATTGATATAGCTTAAAACGTATGTTTTGTCGAGGTTTTTTACGCGCCAGAGAGAAAATACAGTTTGTCAATCGGTCACTCATATCTCGCATCTATTTCACAAGATTAATCCAGCATTAGTAACTTTCTGTTGCTTGACCCACACTTTCAAAATAAATCATGCAAAACAAACATTGTTACTTGTATTAGAATAGAGAGAGATTTTCTACCTGGAACAAAAGTCAGTGCATCACATCTTACAATACAAGTGGAGAGATACTAAAATTATATATTATTTCTTTACTTATATTATGACACGCAATCTACTGATTCGTGTTCCGAATATATTAAAAATTGTGCCTGATGATGGAGCTTTTTATTGGTTACAGTAGTAATTTGGAAGTGGCGCGGAAATAGAAACGATTGCTCAAACTAGAAGCCCTCTGCTGGGCTTCTTTATGGTAAATTCAAGTTTGTGAATGCAAAAAGCTAAAAGCACTTGTTCTT